AATTATCATCATGCATGTATGCATACTCACAATATATAACCGCCTTGTCTAGCACTTAAAGGATAATAGATAGCTAATTCAATTAACTAATACCGAATGACTGATTGAATTAGCAATTTCGACAAGCTGATTAAATTAGCTGATGTGCAGTGATATGCAAAAGTATTTGGTAAATAAGTAGCTATTTGATATGTAAAAATAACTAAAAATTCCACTCTTCTATTCCAAAAAGCTCTGAGCATTTTCGAAGTTAGCATTTTGAATAGAGAAGGCTATTAGCCTATTACAAACCGCAACATACCAAACAGTAAAATTATAGGTTTTGACAGGTCAAATCTCTAATCCACTCTCAGACCTCTAGTTTGGCCCCAAAATGTTAATCACCAAACAAGGCCATTATATAAAATTTACTACCAGAAATGGTTTAAATACAAAAAAAAGTTCAAAAATATAATATGTTTATAAATATTATATTAATCTTCAGATAATTGTAATTTTTTTAATTCTATAATTTTTTATATTCCATTTATAAAAATAAGAACCCGTGTTTATTATAATTTGAAAAAACTATAAAACTAAAAATATATATGGACGCTTTGGCCGCCGCCTAGATCGCCTAAGGCTAACTTCAAAGCCGTTTGGAGCACCCAGGCAGTGCTAGATGGTACCTAATTTCCCGAGCGTCTAGAAGGGTCCGCCTACATGAAAATCGAGGCGCCTGGGTGCCGCCTAGACGGGTGCCTATCCAACTTTTAGAACACAGATCATGATTGCACGAAATACATCAGTTTTTTAAATGTACAGGCAGCAGAGATTTTTTAGGGGTTAAGTTAAATAGATAAAAAAGAAGAAAGAAAAAATTGATTAGTCGAGCAAAGTACAAAAACCCCATGGTTCAATGATTTAGTGTAACTTATAGTCCTTATAGTATTACAAACTCCCACAGGAGAGTATTATTTACTTGGAACATACCTCAATCTTGAGGCTGCAGGTTCTCACAAAAAGATAAAATATCATTTGAAGAATATATTAAAGGGATATCTAATTTAATCATCTCAAGATCAGCTTTTTGCTCTGTTCATTTCATTATCAGGTGAATTTGCATCATTGAAAGGTGACTTTCATGTCGTAAACAGAATTCTGAAGTAATAAAGTTGTAGCAAGCATAATTGTGTTTACATTAGAAATATGTAAAAGAAGATATTTGTACCGGTAAGGCTGTCTTTCAGTGAACCATTTGTGATATACTCATAGACCAACATAAAT